TGTTTTACCAGTTGCCTGTCAATGGCGTCATATCCCCTTTGTGCATGCATCAGACAGAAGCTTTCTTACATTGACTTTTTATCCAGTTTGAAGCCACATTTTACCATCCACTGTTTAGATCTTTTTAACTCTAGATTTGAACAGGATGAAGGATTTTAGTCATTAGACATCTGGATCTTAAGTTATCAGAGAAACAAGCTGAGCTAACGTTAGCAGCAGCTCGGCTCGCAGCCCCTCCAGGACATCCTTGGTCTGTCCAACAGTGTGGGAGAAGCAGTGATTTTTAAACTGGAACTGCTCTATTTAGTGTTTTTAGCGTTTTTAATCAACAGGGCTGTTGTTTTGGAGAGGAGGAGATCTCTGTGGATAATTCCCGGTATAAACCTCCTGAACGATGAACACTGAAGGAATCCTAACAGGAGAAGCTGACTGCAATGACGGCACTTGTAGTGAAGACAACAGCTCCCATGATCCCACGCTGCTTCAGAACATTATAAAACTGTCTTTTGTTCAGTTTAGACTATGTGTTAGTGGTGCACATTATATTGGACTACCACAAACCTTGACCTTGAGGCATTTCCGAGTTGGTAATCCAGCATGCATATGACAGGACACATACATAATTCACAGAAAGTGGGAGACATGGTGGGCTCAGTATGGGCTCAACAACATTTTTCTTGCCCCAGGACCACCTAATCCGGCTACAAAAAAGGTACTGAAAAAACAAACAGCCGGCAAATTAGTTTAGTCATTCATGACCTTAGAGAGTTAACAGAGGACAATTAAATACCATAAATGAGTACATATTCCAGACAGGTAACTGGTCTGTGTGACACCAGGACCAGTGACACTTTGCCTCAGAGAGATGTTTGTAGAACTCAATCATTTATCTGTATTAATGTTGCTGATAATCCCACAACCAAAACCTCCAGCTGTGTTTTCACAGCTGTTAGAGGGAAAACATGACTATAGGGGGGTTCGGTGACATACACCCCCTCTTTCCTGGTAGCATCAATACAAAACATACTGGACTTGGAACTATTTGTTTTCAACACGAGTGATAAACATCCAAAGTCGCTCGTGTTTGCCTTTAGCTTCCTTTTCACAGGGTAGGAGTCTACAGAGAGGTTGTTTCAGCAGAACCAGACCCTGCAGGAGAAACCGCCTTTCATCTCTCATCTTGTCTTACAGTGCCCTCTGCTGACAGGTGGACAGACTTCAGCTAAAAGTCCACCTTTAGTTTTTCAACAAAAATCCCAAGTAGATAGTCCTGCTTCTGACAAAGAAAATGCTGTAAAAAAAAAAAAAAAAAAAACAAGCAGGCAAGTGGGCTGCTGTGACTTCTTTGTTGAGCTGAAACAATTACTTGATCAATAATTATCAGCAACTATTTTTATAACTGATTAATTGTTTCAGTTATGTCAGTTAAAAATGCCACACTCTGTTGGTTGGACAAAACAAACAATGCAAAGATGCCACCTTTATTTACCTGATTACTATTGAAATGTGCAGAGATGTATGTCTGTCTATGCATTGAGCCCACTTCACAAAAAAAAATATTAGAAAAAAGGCTACCCACTTATTTACAATATTTCGTAAGTAAGATATATCAATTACCACCAGAAAACACAGATATACAGTATATCATAAAGTGTATATGGATTGGTTGGGGGATAGAAGATAGATAGAATTGTAAGATGTTTATGGATAGACCTTTTTTCCCAGCAGCCATTTTGACATGTAATAGTAGGGTAACCTCAGGTGTTACTAATGATACTAATTGTTGTTCCGCTTCATTTAGTGTAGCAGAACCTTTCCAGTGAGCCAACAATGCCAAATAGCAGCACCCTGACTCTGTCTCTGTCCGCTTAATTCTGAACCAACTGTGATTTTATTAGCAAGTGAAGTATTGGATCAAAGTATTGAGCAATAACCCAGGTTACTCAGAACCAAAGCTTGAGTTAATTGTTTGATAGTTTGTTGTATCAGATATCTTGCAAATATGCACACTTTTATTACAGACAAAAATTTCCCATTTTACTTACTACTTTCTGTATGTGTATGTTTCTTCCACCTGCTTTATTAACTTGTCATCTATACTGAGATCAAGCTTTGGTTTTGAACATAAACAATAGTTTGTTCCTATTACAAAACTGGTTGTTTTCGACACATTCAAAATAAGTTTATTACTGTTTATCCAACCCACAAATCCAGATCTAAACTTAGCACAAAAAGTAAGGAAATTTGTGTTTGGTAGATTATTTCTCTGTGGTAACAATGCTTTTTGGCAATAAATCTTATACCGTTGGAAAGCCTGTTTAGTTCCCTTTCAAATGGTGCCCCATTTGTAAGGAACATGCACTTGTGGGATGAGCAGCAGAGCTGAGTATGTGGGTTGCGCCCATGAAAAATTTGCCAAATCTTCTCTGCCAATGCCAAACAGCTTATTCTGCCATTGACTTGTTTGGTGTTTGGTGGATTGGATGATTGAAGTTTGAAGAAACAAGACATATTGGCAATTTAACAGTTTATTCATTTCACAAACAGGAGCCTCAGTAGCGTGTGGAAGAACCATACACAGCCACAACAGCCTGGCACCTCCTCCTCATGCTGGTCACCACAGCAGGGCGGGGTTTATCAGAGACTACCTCCAGAATGTGGGAGTGGAGAGGATAGAATGGCCTGCCAGCAGTCCTGACCTCAACCCCATTGAACACTTGTGGGATCAGCTTGGGCGTGCTGTTCGTGCCAGAGTGACCAACACAACCACGTTGGCTGACTTGCGACAAATGCTGGTTGAAGAATGGGATGCCATCCCACAGCAGTGTGTGACCAGCATGAGGAGGAGGTGCCAGGCTGTTGTGGCTGTGTATGGTTCTTCCACACGCTACTGCTACATACTCAGCTCTGCTGCTCATCCCACAAGTGCATGTTCCTTACAAATGGGGCACCATTTGAAAGGAAACTAAACAGGCTTTCCAACGGTATATAATTTATTGTCAAAAAGCATTGTTACCACAGAGAAATAATCTACCAAACACAAATTTCCTTACTTTTTGTGCTAAGTTTAGATTTGTCTTTAAATCACTTATTGTTGTTCCTGCTAAGTAAGTTGTTGTGTCATCCGCATACATTGAAATATGTGACTTTTTTCAAACTAAAGGAAGATCTTTAGTAAATTTTGTGTAGGAGTGGCCCAAGACAACTTCTTTGAGGAAATCAGTTTTTCACTTCTTTACCATCTGAATGACTTCCATTAAAGTATACCATTTGCCTTCTGTCACTCATTTCTATATCCATAAGCCAGTCATAAACCATTTGAGTCAAGGCAGTGGCTGTCGAATGTTTTTCTCTATATGCATGTTGGAAATTAGTGATCAAATTATTATTAGAAAAATAAGATTGGATCCGGTCATACACAATTATTTCCATTATCTTACTCAAAATTGATATTATATTTATGGGTCAACTATTGGATTCGAAAAACTGCAACTTTTTATTTTTTGGTAGAGGCACCACTTTGGAAATCGCCCATGCTTGTAGTCATACATTTTCACTTAAGCATTGATTAATAATTCAATTCAATTCAATTCAATTTTATTTGTATAGCGCCAATTCATAACAGAAGTTATCTCATGACACTTTTCAAATAGAGCAGGTCTAGACCGAACTCCTTATAACATTTACAGAGACCCAACAGTACCAACATGAGCAAGCACTTGGCGACAAGGGCAAGGAAAAACTGCCTGTTAAAAGGCAGAATCCTAGGACAGATCCTCCGGCTCTAGGTGGGTGGTCGTCTGTCTCGACCAGTTGGGGTGAGAGAGAGAGAGAGAGAGAGAGAGAGAGAGAGAGAGAGAGAGAGAGAGAGCGAGAGACAGACAGACAGGTGCACAGCAACAACAGTATTGGCAATGGCAATCTAGCAGGACCGTGGCAGGAGGCTCCACCAGGATCGACAAGAACCTGCGAGACGAGAAAGCACAAGAACTCCGGGGAAGAAGTGAAGTTAGTAACATGCATTAATGGAACATGAATGAGTGCAGAAAGAGAGAGGAAGGGAGGAGCTCAGTGCACCATGGGAAAGCTATGGGCTTTAACAATTTGCCATCAAGATCATCCACCCCAGGTGGTTTATTTTTGGATGTCATTAACATTAGTTCAACTTTAGCAACACTAACTTTATTGAACTCAAAGTAACTTTTTTTGTTTCATAATATTGTCTATTGATTTATATGATAAATCTGTATTCTAAGACTGAATGGTACTTATCTAACTTATCTATCTTGTTTATAAAATAACTGTTTAAAACTCCCCTCTGTTTTCTTAATTTGCAATATATTTGCCAATCTGATTGAAAACTAGATGAAATTGCTGTTTAGCTTGATCTCTTTCCATCATATAGGACTCTTTTAAGTCCTTATCCAACCATGAGGCGTTAACATTCCTAACTGAACATTTTATTTACATTTTATTTTATAATTACAGTGGTTGATATCAGACAAAAAACTTGCTTGACCAGTGTGGGCCATCATTTTATGGCACAATTGTGAAGTGAGACCAGACTGATCGTAAAAGGTGAGTCACTGGTGGCAGGTTGCTGTAAGCTTTATCTGTATCTCTCTTCAGTTTTAAGTTGTTCTTGTTGAACTGTGGTTTTTTTCTATTTCATGAGTATATTACTTTACTTTATTTACTCAAGTACTGTTGTTAAGTAGTAGTTATGGTATTTCTACCTTAAGTAACGGATATGTATGGTGCCCATTTCTGCCAGTGTGAGGAGACAAAAAGATTCTGTAAGTCATCGTAATGAGAAACTTTCTCAATATTTTAACTTTGTATCTCAAAATAATGACTTAGTATCACAAAGTAATTTAATAATACTGACTTTTTTTTTTTCCACCACTGACTGAAAAGGTACACCACTGTAAGTATAAAATGGTGACTGTTCACCTCCATGCTGCTAGGGGCAGCACTGCTCTGATGAGGGAGGAAGTAGAGCCGGAACAGTAAGCGGTTAGCAGCCCTACATTGGCATCTGGCGCACACATTGTCAGTATATATTAGGGCGCGCACGGCTGCCAAACATTTGTATTTACAGGATAAGCTCGTAAGTAAGCTGGTGATGGCTGGTGGTTCAGGAAGTGAAGATATGTTTGACTGTATTATTATGGCGGATGAACGGTGAGTTTTCTGGCAGTTAAATGTTGACCTGTTTACCGGGGCACGTGCCTAATGTTTCCTGGTTGTAACGTTAACGTTTGTCCGTTCAGCTAACACCCCAAACCCAAAACCCTCTGACTCACTGGAACTGTATTTAGGCTGACCGTTGAAAAGAAGCTGAAAGGTGTTAGCTACCTAGCTAACTGTTGCGTATAAACAAACCAAGCCTGTGTCCAACTACAGGTTTTTTACTCATGTCGCCAAGCAGCGTCCAACGTTTTGAAATAGAATAAAGATTAGTCTCTAGCGATAACCAGTAAGTAGGGTGGCCATTTCCTTCACATCAAAAAGGAGGACACTTTGCATACACGGGGACACGCAAGCAGATATTTGTTTGGTATGATCCGGTTTTAAATTTTAATGTTTTTCCACCAGATTACATAAAGGTGCATACACATACCACATAGCTAATAATAAATATACAAGACACAGCTCATGACAACGTGCCCTTCCAATTCAGATTACATAGGTCTAATAAACATCATACAGAAACTGTTAGTAATGTTTTTATCTGGATAAAGGATTTAAAAAAAATGCAGCAACTTCTGTTTCAGATGTATAGGCTTTACCTAGACTTTACCTATTCATATGAGTATGAGCATATTCAGAATTTCAGTCCAACAACCAACGTTAGCTCACGTTATGTTCTCTGTCGCTGAGAGCTTGATTGCAACTGGGTGATCGGTGGCGAATCAACACATGGCTCATTTGAATATTAAAATTAGCCATTTGTTGATAGGTAATGACAAGAAAATGTAACCAATGAAATTACTTATTTTGACACACATTTTTAGCCAATAAGTATTAAACTAACGAGGTAATGTGTCAAAAGGCGGACCTTTTTAGTTATTTTCTCAAAAGGAGGACAAACGAGTGTCAGGCTTAAGGCTGCGCCTGCAGCCGGACAGGGCATTTAAAAGCCGGACGAATGGCCACCCTACTAGTAAGTGAGGCTGTGCTTGTGTCTCAGGTTCCGAGGAGAGGGCTACCGGGAGGGATTTGAGAAAGGGACCCGCCGAGGACTGCAGGACGGCCGCAGACATGGAGCCTCTCATGGGGCCAAGCTGTCCACTGAGGTGAGTCAGCAGCGCAGTCAATGTGACTGTAGGTGGAATGTGTCTGTTGTTTTCTGCTATTATCTAAGTTAACCCTAGTTCAGTACCTCAGTCATACCCTTCTGCAGCCTGTTACACCAGCTGTGTGTGATTTTAAACTTATCTTATATTATATTATTAAGGAAATGTATTCATCATGATACAACTTTATAATGAAGTGAAAGTTTGTCGTTCCTTAATGCTGCACACATAGCAAAATATAATCAAATTCATAGAATGACATAAAGGATAAATACATTGGAATAAAATATAATAAAACGGTATATAGTTATTTATTGACATAACATCCACGTATGCACAAATGCTAGACTGATGGGCCGATTATTTGGCATTTTGAGATAAAATATATCGACTGATGTCTGTGCTCACAAGGCTGATGAACAGAACATTTCTTCAGACACAAATGCAAGTAGCCATGTCAGTGTGGCTGCTGTGGAACCATGTTATCGTTCCCTTTTTTGTAAGGGTGGTAGAAAAAGTTGGTTTTGAGCCCTGCACTATAATTCTCCTGCTGTAAACACATGCCTGAATTTCCTGTAAAATAGAACAGACTTATACATGATGTTTCTTTGCTTTGATATTGGCATTATATATTGGCTATCGGCCGTCGGCAGCCTTGCTCTTTAAATGTTTGCATCAGTCATTAAAAAGCTGGGCATGGCTCCTATTCAGCTCTCTTTCTCTGTACCTTCAACGACAGACCCCTCATTCTGGCTGGGTGGATTGTCCTCAAGGTCTGCTGCTTTTTAATCCAAACACTGCGTTTCCTTTTGACTCGCGGTCGCTGGCTCGGTCCCTAATTACACAAATAATTCATTAGACCTGTTGACACTGTACGGTCGTAGGTCCACATATATATATATATATATATATATATATATATATATATATATGACGGCCACAGACTCTGTTAACTTCTGCGCGCGGGCAGAGTTTGCCGGCAGTTTGCAAAGGAAGGATCTGTCGAGTTGCGTCTGTTTTGAATCCACAGGTTTAGCCGCGGGTTGCTGCAGAGCATCTTCATGGTGTCTGCTTAAGTGGTTGCTGTATCTGCAGAGACCCTGCAGTCCTTTTCCTGTATTTTCTTATTTTGCTGTGTACAGGACGTTTCTGTGCTAGGCCATGGTAAAAGACACTTAATAAATAATAATAAATGGCAATAAGAAAATTGTTCAATTGAACATTGATATTTTTACTTACGATGCAGACTGCCCTGAAAGCACATAATGCATACATTGTCATAAACCTTGATAATGGAACATTCTATGAGTGAATCACAATAGCTACTTCCACCCTCTGGAGTACAATATGTCGTCAGTCACGACATCTGTTGCATCTCAATTAACAATCCACAGGCAGTCCACGATGGACGTCCTACTCCGCAACACTGTATGACAAAACAGTCAAATTAAGCAAAGGACTAGACGGCACTCCCATTTAATGATTTAATATTGCTGCGCTTGAATTGATATTAAATCCATGAAAACTCAAAAACATGCCTCACATTGTATGCAGAGCATTAGAAATACTTCATAAAAAAACAAGCAAAGGAAATTGCCTTATTCACACCACTGGAGATGAATAAATCAGGGAAGTGAATCCAACACATCTCCTTTTGGAGAAAGATTACTGCCTGTCCATGGTGTACATAAAGTAGTTAAACTCAGAAATAAGGGTCCTTCCTGAAGGGTTGTGTGGAGGTGTGACCTTGTTTTTTGTGCTTTAGAATGTAACTGCTGTGAAACAATCAGAACATTTAGTTTTTAATGTGGCTCCCTCTCCTCATTCATTTTCTATGTAGCTTTACATAAGCTAAAGGTGCTGGAAGGAGGAGCCAACTTTGAATGGTGCGCTTATAAACAGCAGCAGACAAATCCTGCATAATATGCCTTTTTAATGGTCAGTTTAACAGGGTTTAGCAGGCAGTTGGCTTCTTTTATTGAGGAATAAGTTGTGTTGTGTTTCTTTAAATCCCTTCACCCTCTCAGGTTTGTTTACTGTCTCTTGCCCTCTGACCTCCTACAGATTTCCTTCTATTATGGGTTTGCCATCACATGGAAATGTCTCCTCCAACACTGTACAGATGTCAAATCAAGGTATGTTCTTCTCAAACAAGGTCATTATCTGACTCCAGTTTTCACATCAGCACTCTGCAGGAGGGAGCTGGGAGCTTTAATAGTTGTCAATGGGGGGGTGCAATTATTGGCATTGTATTTTGCTGATTTAATGGTATGCCTTTGAAGAATGAGAGCTGCTCATTGACAGATGTTTAGTGGTGTAGTACACACACTGGAGGAGTGAGAGGAAAAACAGCTATACAGTAGATTGCCTACATCACCACAGGTCCCGTGATCCCGGCTGAGGCAGGATCTCAAAAACAAGCTACGCTCAAGCTAAGTGACCGCCCATCTCCTGGCCAGGCCCCAGCCTCCGATGTGGTGGCTGATGGCTCCCCTACTGTCACAGATCCAGCCTTGGTCCAGCCACCCTCTGCCTTCACCACTACTGAGGGTCGCCCCACCTCCCTGGCCTGGATTGGTGCTAGTCAGGATGGCCTACCTTCTCGTGTTTGTCAGGACCGACCCAATCCCACCGGTTTGTGGGTCCTATGGGAGTCCTGTTCTCCCCTTTTCCCACCAGCTGCTACGGGGCGGTCGTTAATCCTTCCTTAATCGAAATGTTGTGGGTTCGATCCCCGGCTCCTGGTGCCACATGTCGAAGTATCCTTGAGCAAGATACTGAACCCCAAATTGCTCCCGATGCCGTGCATTGGTGTGTGAATGTGTATGAATGAGTTCGTTTCTGTTCGATGGACTTTGCCATCACCACTCAATGTGGCAAGTAGTGTAAAAGCGCTTTGAGTGGTCGGAAGACTAGAAAGGCGCTATACAAGTACAGGCCCACACATTATCTGCTGTCTCTCGGGCCGTGTTCTCCAGGTGGTCTGGCCTGGTGCCTGCGTTAAGGACATTACCCAGTCCTCTACAGCTGATAATAATATATTATTATTATTATTATTATTATTATTATTATTATTATATAATTAGGGATGACCGATCCAGTATCGGTATCTGGACCAATACCAGCATAATTCACGTATCGGATTTTCCCAATCCAACCTGCGGCGATATCCGATATCCATGAGCCTTGTCTGCGCTTTAACGTTGTCTGCTGAAATGACTCCACAGGTGGTTCCTGCCGGCTAGTCTGCTAGCTGGCTGCAAACTGTGGAATGGATTTTCTGAACGGAGGCGCAGCTCAATGAGACAGAGTTATGAGACACGCCCCCGCTCAGGAAATCCATTCCGCAGTTTTGCAGCCAGTTAGCAGGATAGCAGAGGCTGAAGCTCCCTCGCGTCGTACACTACCAACGCAATCAAACATTTAAAAAAAGCACCACACGAAACAGCACAAGGATTTTTTTTAGCCAGGGGGCAGAAAGACCAAAGGATCTGTCAGGAATCACTTCTAGAGTCACTTCAGATGCACACTGTTTTTGTGTGTGTGTGTGTGTGTGTGTGTGTGTGTGTGTGTGTAAGATGTTTACACTTAATGCACTTTTCTTATGTTTCAAATATTTGACATTTTGGGAATTTAATAAATCAATCAATTTCAAAAATCAATTTGAAACCCTTACAATTGCATATTTGTTTTCAGGATGGGATTTTTCCTGTTTTTCTGACTTCCTTTTCTGACCTTATACTTACCTCAAGTTGCCTTTTGGGAAATACATGCATACGTACGTACATATCATACTTGCCTGTTGAGAGAAGTTTATTTCAGCCTCATAAAATCAACAATGATGATGATAATAATAATAATAATAATAATAATATTAAAGCAAACAAAGCTTTGGTATCGGAATAGTATCGGTATCGGCCGATATCCAAATTCAGGTATCGTGATCGTATCGGAAGTGACAAGATGGATGATCCAATTTTTTTCGACAGTCTGCTGGAAGCCAGTACTTATTTCCGGTCTGCTCCCCTCGCCTCGATTTGGTGACGTGAAGTTTAGTCACCTACGCCAAGGGGTTTCTGTCTGACGCCTCTTATTTTTCTGTCAGAATTCACAGCATCGGGAGCAATTCAGGGTTCAGTATCTTGCTCAACATGTGACAGGAGGAGCCGGGATCATAAATCTTTCCTTCTCAATGATCTAATTAAATCCCATAACCTTGATTTTCTGTTTCTTACTCAAACCTGGCTGAAGCCTGCCCACCCAGTTACACATTTTTAAATTGAGCAAAACTAACAGGCTTGGGTGGGGGTATTGCATTGTCTTTAAAAACCATCTTTCTTTGTTCCACTCAGCCGTAAAAGTTTTAAAATCTTAACTTTTTAAATTGTGCGTGAAAACCCCATCTGCTGTATAATCATTTACTGTCCCCCAAATTCCAACTCCAGCAGTGGTTTTCCTAAATAAATTCTGAGCTACTGTCCTCTCTTGTGCTCAAATTTGATGAGGCCATTATAGCTGGTGACTTTAACATTCATATTGATAAAACTTTAAATCCATTTACCACAGACTTCTTAAACATTTGTAAATCCTTTAACCTTGTGCAGCACGTCTCTGGCCCTACACATAACCGTGGGCACATCCTTGACTTAGTTTTTACTCTGGATCTGTCTTAGTTTCCATATGCATGATTTTGTCTGACCAATTCAGTTTAATTCAATTAAATTTTATTTGTATAGCGCCAATTCATAACAGAAGTTATCTTGTATTGTGCAAATGTATTGATGCACATTATCTGCTTCATCATCTCAGAAACGTATAACCCACTCTCACGTCTTTAATAATCACTCAGCAGCCTCATTTTGTAGCCATTTTCTAGTCTGGCCACTTCCCCTCCTCACTACTTCAATATTAATGATCAATAATTTGTAATTTGTGTACCTCAGAACTTGATTATCCGCTCCATATACACCCAGAGCTGCCCTAGTTAATAAAACCTGTGGATTAACGATAACATTGGACAACAAAGAAGGGTTTATATGAAGGCCGAGCAAAATTGGAAAAAGTACAAACTTGAAGTCCACCGCCTCTACATGAGGGAATTACTGTTTAAATTGAACCAGACTATTAAAGATTTGTATTGTATTGTATTACTATTTTTTTGTATTGTATTACTTTATTAATCGCACAACGGGGAAATTCCCTTGTCACAGCAGCATTTTACGTGAAATAAATAAATGCGGTAAAGTGGTAAAGGTATGGTGGTAATTTGAAAAACAGAAATTACAACATTGATTAGGTGTTGTAGAGTCTGACAGCGGCAGGGATGAAAGACCTGCGGAACTTCTCCTTACACTGTGGGTGTAACAGTCTGCTGCTGAAGGAGCTACTCAGGGACCCCCCAGTGTCAGTGAAGCTGACATCCATCATGGACGACACCTCTCACCCCCTACATAACATCCTCTTCTCACCCACTTCCTCTATGGAGTCCAGAGGACAGTTCAGGACAGAGCTCGCTCTCCTGACCAGTTTATTGAGTCTCTTCCTGTCCCTGTCCGTACTACCCCCTCTCCAGCAGACCACAGCAAAGAAGATGGCTGAAGCCACCACAGAGTCATAAAAAGTCTTGAGGAGTGCCCTGCTTACTCCGAAGGACCTCAGTCTCCTCAGCAGGTGGAGGCGAATCTGGCCCTTCTTGTAGAGAGCATGGGTGTTGTCAGTCCAGTCCAGTTTGTTATTGAGGTGAACACCCAGGAATTTGTAATTTTCTACCACTTCAATGTCCATTCCCTGGATGTTCACCGGTGTGAAGTGGGATGTTTTCCTCCTGAAGTTAACAATCATCTCTTTCGTCTTGCTAGTGTTTAGCTGAAGCTGGTTGAGCTCACGCCAGCTGACAAAGTCCCTGATGACAGTCCTGTATTCCAGTTCGTTCCCCTCAGAAACGCATCCAACAATGACTGTGTCATCTGAGAACTTCTGGATGTGGCAGGTTGTGGAGTTGTGGGTAAAGTCCGAGGTGTAAAGGGTGAAGAGGAATGGAGAGAGCACTGTACCCTGAGGGTCACCTGTGTTGCAGAGCACAACGTCAGACAGTGTTGGAGCCTCACATACTGCGGTCTGTTGGTGAGATAATCTATTGTCCATGAGCCAGGTGTTGGTCCACTCCCACACTTTCCATAATCACTCTGAGCAGTGACGGCTGGATAGTGCTGAAAGCACTGGTGAAGTCAAAAAACATGACCCTCACCGTGCTCCTGCTGTCCTCCTGGTGTAACAGGGATCTGTGCAGCAGGTAGATTACTGCGTCGTCCACCCCAATACCAGGCTGGTAAGCAAACTGCAGGGGGTCCAGCTGTGTGCCCAACAGGGGTTGCAGATGTCTCAGGATGATCCTCTCCATGGTCTTCATCAGGTGGGAGGTCAAGGCAACAGGCCTGAAGTGGTTAGGCTCCTTGGGGCGCGGTGTCTTTGGTAACGGGACCACACAGGAGGTCTTCCACTGGGCTGGGACAGGTGTTGAAGATGGCAGGATGAGGAGTGGAGGGGCAGGTGGAGCTGGCCAGTGGAGTTGTGAAGTGGGATCAGGGTGGGTGGGTGGGTGAGGGAGAGGAGGCAGAATCAAACCTGTTGAAAGTTAATCTGCCCAGTCCTTGTCCCCTCTGCTTTGGTTTCTTCCCACTCCTTTTCCATGGCCTGAGATGCTCTGCAGCCCTCTCCAGACATCCCTGGCGTTGTTCTGTTCCAGCCGCTTCTCCAGTTTCCTCCTGTAGCTGTCCTTCCCCTTCCTGATCTTTTGCAGGAGTTCCTTCTGGACTCTGCGCAGCTTCTCTTTGTCCCCCGATCTAAAGACCCTCTTCTTCTCATTCAGCAGGGCCTTAATCTCAGAGGTCACCCAGGGTTTGTTGTTGGGAAAACACCTTATCAACTTGGAGGGCACAGTGTTCTCCACTAAGAAATTAATATAGTCCATAGTGCAGTGGGTCATACTGTCAATGTCATTTCCATGGGGGCTGCAGAGTGCATCCCAGTCTGTTGTCTCCAAGCTGTCTCTGAGCCTAGCACTGTTCTCCTCAGACCACTCCTTCACAGGCCTCTTCTCAGGTGGTTGTTTATTCACCACAGGGGTGTAGTCTGTGACCAGATGGACAAGGTTGTGATCTGAGCGACCAAGCGGGTGAAGGGGAGATGAGGTGTATGCATCCTTGATGTTTGCATACAAGTCCAAAGTTTTATTGTCCCTGGTGTGGTATTTCACGTACTGGGTGAAGGTGGGGAGAGCAGAGGACAGGGAAGCATGGTTGAAGTCCCCGGAGATGAGGAGGAGGGATTGGAGGTGCTGGTTTTGAAGCTGGGAGACGACAGTGTGGATCTGATCTGTAGCAGCGACGGCCAAGGGATGGATGTACACAGTTACAGCAATAACTTAACTCTCTCGGAAGGTAGTACGGCCGCATGCTAACTGCTAACAGCTCCAAGTCTCTGGTGCAGAGTTGCTCCTCCTTTCTGACCTGACTGTTAGCAATAAACATAACCCAAGGTTTTCATTTACTACTAGCCAGCTTGTAACGCCATCTCTTCCTGCTATTCATGCCTCCTCTCCTGCTGACTGTTAAAAAGTCCTGTCTTTTTTCATTGGCAAGATCGTTGGTCTAAGGTCTCAATTCACTGTTCTGCCCCCTGCAATGTTCAGTCGTCCCATTTTACTGTCTGATTTTGCTCCTATCTTTCTGCAGATTTTTTTTTAAAAAAACTGTCGATCACATGCATCCCTCTACCAGTTCCCGTGACACAGTTCCTACAACATTTCTGTTTCATTCCTATTTGACTAATAGATACTTCGATGTCTGCATAAATAATCATGTTTCCTCCTCTGCTCCCCTGCTATGTGGTGTCCCTCAGGGGTTGGTTATTAGTCCAGTTCAGTTCTCCCTGTACATGCTTCCTCTAGGTCATTTGTTCAGCCGCTTCCATGACCTGTCATACCACAGTTATGCCAATAATACACAGATCTACTTCTCTGCTAAACCCAATAACCTAAATCAACCACGAGTGTTTTCGGGCGGCTGTGGCTCAGAGGAAGAGCGGGTCATCCTGTAATCGGAAGGTTGTTGCCACATGTCGAAGTATCCTTGAGCAAGATACTGAACCCGAAATTGCTCCCGATGTGCATCGGTGTGTGAATGTGTATGAATGAGTTAGTTTTTGTTCAATGGGCTTTGCCATCACTGTGTGAATGTGTGTGAAAGGGTGACTGTGGCATGTAGTGTAAAAGTGCTTTGAGTGGTCGGAAGACTAGAAAGGCGCTATACAAGTACAGGTCCATTTACCATTTACCATTTAGCTAGATGTCTCTTAATTTTCTCCACCTAAATCCTGACAAAACTGAAATCATTTTATTTGGTCCTGAAAACCTTGTCACTGCAGTTGATCAGTTTACTGGACTATTACGGACGAATATCAAACCCACTGCTAAGAATCTGGGTACCATCTTTGACCAGTATATGACGTTTGACCATGTTACAAAACTTGTCCAGTCCTGTCCTACTGCAGCTACAAAATATTGCAAAAATCAGAAGCTTCTTGTCATCCAGTGATCTTGAACAATTAATTCACAGCTTAATTTTCTCCCATCTAGAATACTGTAAGTCCATCTACACGTGCATCAGTCAAGCTTCCTTAGATCGTTTACAGTTAGTACAAAATGCAGCCGCCAGACTTTTAACCAGAACCAGCTGTCGGTCCCACATTATTCCTGTTCTCGCATCCCTTCTTTGGCTTCCTGTAAAATTCAGAATCAACTATAAGATCTTACCGAGAAGGCATTTCATGACCTTGCCCCCAGTTACATTTCAGATCTCCTTGTTCCTCATTCCATTCCTTGGCCACTTGGCTCCTCAAATCTAGGCCTTGTATCCATCCCCCGCTCTAACTGCAAAACTCACTCAAATTCCCTGAATCTGTGGACAGTTTTAAGTGGCTCCTCAAAACCCACCTCTACAGGCAAGCCTTTTTATAGATCTCCTTGTTTGTTTTCTCATCAGTCGTCTCTTTTAGTTTATCCTTCCATCTTGTTTTATCTTCCGTATGGACCCATATGTATGTATGGACCCATATGTATGTATGTGATTTTTTGTAAAGCACGTTGTAACTCTGTGCTTGCTTGCTTACTTATATATTCCGGTGATTATACACTAATAAAAACATACCTATGCATATTATTTTCCTTTTCTCTCTAAATAGAGCCTCCTAAATGTTCTACACTGAACTTTGAAATACACATCAAGTGAACTTAGCCATCCATGTGCAAAGAACATTTACTGATTATAAAATGTGTGTGTGTGTGTGTGTGTGTCAGAAAGCGTATAAAAGCACTGGAATCGCTCATGGGTTTGATCCAGAACTCCCCTCATGATGATCCGCAGTCTGCACACCTACAAGAGAACATGGACAAACTCCGGGCCAAGTTCAGACAGGTACAACATTGATTTGAACCTGCTGATAGTGAAGGAAGTCCCAGGGATGATCAGAGTATTGAATTTGATATTGGTATTGATCTCAACTGTGGTCCATTAAAACTCTGGTTGTATAAGCTAAGCCACAGCATTTTGAATGAGATAAGCTGGCAGTTTACTTTAGCTTCGACACAGTATTTGAAAATAAATACAAAATGTCACTCTGTGTGTGTGTGTGTGTGTGTGTGTGTGTGTGTGTACTTGTTTTGTAGTCATGGAAATTAATTAAAATTACCAAATATCCTGGAAATAATCTATTTTGTGCTGGAATTTTTTAATTGTTTTTTATTATTTTTTTTTACTCAGATCGCCTATGTAAACCTGGGTTTGAGGAAAACTGTAGTAAACCGTAGTCAATTCACCGGAGATGGAAAGTACTTGTAATGAAGCTGCATCATTAAAAACCTACTCTTGGTAGTATACGCTGTGTGGTGTGATGCTTCAAAGTGGGTTTACCGGACGCAAAACTACTCCCTTTTCATCTGGCTCCCATTTACCAATCCACTTCATTATCTGACTCTATCTGTCACTAGTCTATTCAACAAGTGGTGTTCTCAAAGAATGCCAGTGGAAATGCTGTAGACAGTCCTCTACATGCATACAGCTTATTAATGATCACATTTGTTTTAGTGGTTGATGAAAACATGCACTGCACTTTTAACTGATTTGTTTGACTGTGTTTGATTTGAACTCCTATTTATGGGCTGTGGCCAAATTTAATGTTACGGTTAAATCAAAAATGTAGAGACCGTAGCTGTGGTGACCACAGCCTGAAGCGCTACGCAAGTGAGCTGACCAGCTACCTGTAATGACCTGAGACACTTTATAAACCCTGCATCATTGAACAAGTATGAATAACACTGGGGTTTACTAGGCCTACCAGTGAATTCTGTGAGCAAGTGCTCTGTGCAATTTTTCTTTTTTTTTTCCTAGATATTTCTAACATTGTCGAGTATCCTAGTTACGAAGTTTTTTTTTTCTGTAGTTACTTTTATTTACATTTGTATGACCCATGACGACAAACGCGCTACAGCAGCCCAAAGCCTTTCCATTATGGGAAAGAGTGCAGTTTGAGAAATTTTTTTCATTAATATTAATGTATAAATGTCTTAAGTTATCCTACTGTGAATTATATGCAACTATCCTGCATTAGCAGAGCAGCTGCTGAACTAACCTGTTATTGTCCAGGTCTGCTCAATGCTGAGTGTCCCAACTGACTTCAAGGATTACATCAAAACTTCTGAGGGGATTTCTTTTTGAACATCTCCTGATGACGAGGAGGAGGATAAAGAGCTGAGCCGACCTCTGGAGGACAGAAAAGTGGGAAACTTAGCTGCTTTCAGCACGGGAAGCAGCAAGTGACTGGTCTGCAGTGGATTTATTAGAGGGTTTGGAGTGTGAAGCAGTACCTGCATCCGTCTGAGAGTCTGTGCCTTTACATTGTGGTGGGAATGTCCACAATCCTCATTCAACTGGATCAATGCAAGCAGAGACTGCACGCACTGTTTAGTGTTGAACTTGCAGTGGATGTATTGCAGTGGTTCAGCGTGTTTAACAGATTTGAAAATCAAGTCAGTAATAAACTGTATGAGACAGAACAAAGGCCCTGTTCACACCTGGCATTAAAATGCGTCTCAAGTGATCAGATCTCACTTTCTTATATGCAAATAATGGGTCTGTACCCTGTGTACTTCCAGGACGTCAGTTGATACCCAGGACACATTACATACACACTGCTAAAAGAATGTGTTCCAGACCACTTCCAAATGTGGTCTAAGCAATCGGATCTCAACACATCCTCATTGTGTCCCAGGTACATTCACACCTGTACTTGTGATCGGATCAGCCAAGATGCTTGTTAATACCGGATGTAAACGTGGCTAAAATCACAAATCTCTTGGAACATGATTTGCTCTTTGATGTCTTAACTTAAGATGTCTTAACTTAAGACCTCAAAGGGCAAGACTCTTGAGTGTGTTTATTCTGTGGGAGGTTTGACTGAACTACAGGGACTAAATAATTAAAGCAACTCTAATTCTCAGCAGTAGTGAAAAGAAGTACCTATACTCAGGTCTCAGTTCTTTCTTTGTTCTGCTCTATACTCTACTGTGTGTTCTACACCACTACATTTATCTGACCGCAGCTTTTTTATTTGACCTTTATTTAGAGAGTTATTCTAATTGAGAGACAGGGTGACATTTGAAGAGCTTAGAAAATATGGTTTAACTTTCATTGTTACACAAAACAGTATACACAGAGAGAGTGGGGATGGAGAAAAACGCTTCTCTGTATTTGCAGTACACTTGAGCAAACTACATCCTCCAAAATTATCCTACAGTTGAATCAAGATCTCTGTAAAACAGAGCATTTTAACGTTAATCAGTAATGTTAATCAGTATATATTTACACTTTGGAAAGGGCTGTCCCACAAAAACATATTTTGCTCATGATTCTGTATATTTAATAAAGTAAAACTCTGGATGCAAGACGTTCATTTGTAGTAGAGTATTTTTGTATTGTGGTTTTGCTTTCTAAGTAAATGATTTGAACACTGAAGGAGACACTGGCAGCCAGTCTAACAGTTCCAACATGCACACTGGTACACATTTACTGTGGTTACAGACTGAACTTAAATACAGTAAGATTGTTATCCACTTCGGCAGTAATGACACCCATTTACGCCAATCGAAGGTCACCAAAATTAATGTGGAGTCGGTGTCTAACTATGCTAAAACTACGTCGGACTCCGTAGTTTTCTCTGGACCCCTGCCCAATGTGACCAGTGATGACATGTATAGCCGCATGTCGTCATTCCACCGCTGGCTGTCGAGGTGGTGTCCAGCAAATGATGTGGGCTTCATTGATAACTGGAAGCCTTTTTGGGGAAAACCTGGTCTGATTAGGAGAGACGGCATCCATCCCACTTTGGATGGAGCGGCTCTCTTATCTAGAAATATAAGTTTATCTCTAAAACCTGACAGTCCAGAGTTGGGACCAGGAAGTAGAGCTGCTGTCTTACACACTTCTCTGTGCTTTCTTTAGAACAGTCACCCACCCAAAACCCCATAGAGACTGTGTCTGTCCCCCGACCACCTAAATTATTTAAAGAAATAAAAACAAGAGTTAAACATAAAAACCTAATAAAAATTCAAACTAACTCCTCAGTAGCACAAAATAAAAGAATGAAATGTGGACTGTTAAATATCAGGTCTCTGTCTTCAAAAGCTGTTTTAGTGAATTAATATCAGATTATGACATTGATTTACTTTGTCTTACTGAGACCTGGTTGTCCCACGAGGAGTATGTTAGCCTAAATGAATCCACCCCCCCAGTCATATTAATACTCACATTCCTCGAGGCACTGGCTGAGGAGGTGGAGTGGCAGCCATATATGATTTGAGCGTTTTAATGGACCCTAAACCTAAACTAAATTATAATTCATTTGAAAGCCTTGTTCTTAGTCTTTCTCACCCATCCTGGAAAACACTGCAGCCAGTTCTATTTGTTATAGTCCGTACTCTGATTTTATATCTGAATTCTCAGAGTTTTTATCAAGTTTAGTCCTTAAATCAGATAAAGTAATTATTGTGGGTGATTTTAATATTCATGTGGATAACAATGACAGCTTTAGTAATGCATTTATATCATTAATAGACTCAATTGGCTTCTGTCAAAGTGTAAATAAACCAACTCATTGTTTTAATCACACTCTTGACCTCGTTCTTTCATATGGCATTGATATTGTACATTTAATAGTCTTCCCACATAATCCTTTCCTATCTGACCATTATTTAATAGCTTTTGAATTCATACTATTAGATTATAAGCCATTAGGCAAAACTTCCTACAGCAGATGTCTATCTGACAGTGCTGTAGCTAAATTTAAGGAGGAGATTCCTTCAGTGTTTAATTCAATGCCATGTCTGAATTTATCAGAGTCCTATAACAACTTTAGTCCCTCTGAAATTGATAATCTTGTCGATAGTGCTGCAGGCTCACTACGATCAACATTAGACTTTATCGCTCCTATAAAAAGGAAATTATTAAAACATGGGAGACTAGCACCGTGGTACAACCACCAAACCCGCCAGTTAAAGCAAATAGCTAGGAAATCTGAAAGGAAATGGCACTCTTCCAAATGATCAGAATATCGCTCAATTTGGCAAGATAATCTTAAAACTTATAGAAAGGCCCTCCGTAATGCCAGAGGAGCCTATTACTCAGCACTAATAGAAGAAAATAATAACCCTAGGTTCCTCTTCAGCACTGTAGCCAGGCTGACAGAGAACCACAACTCTATTGAGCCACATATCCCCATAAACTTAAGTAGCAATGACTTCATGAGCTTCTTCTATAATAAAATTATTACTATTAGAGAGAAAATTAATCACCAACTGCCATCAACAGTTATCAGTGGCTCTCCAAGTTCAGGGACTTTTGCTAATGTAAACTTAGATATATATTTAGACTGTTTTTCTGCTATCGATCTTCATCAGTTAACTTCAATCATTTCTACATCGAAGCCATCGTCTGTTGGACCCGATCCCAACTAGGCTGCTTAAAGAAGTTGTTCCCTTAATTGGCACTTCTTTACTGGATATGATTAATCTTTCTTTATTATCAGGATATGTACCACAGTCCTTTAAAGTAGCTGTAATTAAACCCCTTCTTAAAAAGCCCACTCTTGACCCAGGGGTTTTAGCCAACTATAGACCGATTTCTAACCTCCCCTTCCTCTCTAAGATTCTGGAGAAAGTAGTCGCCAAAGAGTTGTGTGACTTTCTACATAACAATAGTTTATTTGAGGATTTTCAGTCAGGATTTAGAGTTCATCATAGCACAGAGACAGCTCTGGTTAAAGTTAATAATGACCTTCTGATTGCTTCTGACAATGGACTTGTCTCTGTACTTGTATTATTAGATCTTAGTGCTGCATTTGACACCACTGACCATGACATTCTTTTACAGAGACTTGAGCATCAAATTGGCATTAAAGGAACCGCACTAAGCTGGTTTAAGTCATATTCATCAGATCGTTCGCAGTTTGTACATGTTAACGATGAATCTTCAATAAATACTACAGTTAGTCATGGAGTTCCACAAGGTTCTGTACTTGGACCAATATTATTTACTTTATATATGCTCCCTTTAGGCAACATTATTAGGAATCACTCCATTAACTTTCACTGTTATGCAGATGATACGCAGTTATATCTATCGATCAAGCCTGATGAAATTAATCAATTATCTAAATTACAAACATGTCTTAAGGACATAAAATCATGGATGACCTACAATTTTCTGATGTTAAACGAAATTCTTGTTGGCCCCAAAAACTTTAGTTTACTCTAGATGGCATTAACTTGGCCTCTAGCACCACTGTCAGGAATCTTTGAGTTATCTTTGATCAGGATTTGTCATTTAACTCCCACATGAAGCAGACCTCTAGGACTGCCTTCTTTCATTTACATAATATTACAGAAATTAGACACATCCTATCACAGACAGATGCAGAAAAACTAATCCATGCATTTTCTGGATTTGCTGGATCAGGTGAGTCCTGAACCATCCCTTAGTTATGCTGCTATAGGCCTAGACTATCGGGGGATTTCCCATGGTGCACTGAGCTCCTCTCTTCCTCTCTCTTTCTGCACTCATTCATGTCCCATTAATGCATGTTACTAACTTCACTTCTTCCCCGGAGTTCTTGCGCTTTCTCATCTCGCAGGTTCTTATCGATCCTGGTGGAGCCTCCTGCTATGGTCCTGCTAGATTTCCATTGCCAATACTGTTGTTACTGTGCACCTGTCTGTCTGTCTCTCTCTCTCTCTCTCTCTCTCTGTCTCTCTCACCCCAACTGGTCGAGACAGACGACCACCCACCTAGAGCCGGAGGATCTGTCCTAGGTTTCTGCCTTTTAACAGGCAGTTTTTCCTTGCCCTTGTCTCCAAGTGCTTGCTCATGGTGGTACTGTTGGGTCTCTGTAAATAATGTTATAAAGAGTTCGGTCTAGACCTGCTCTATTTGAAAAGTGTCCTGAGATAACTTTTATGAACTATTATGAATTGGCGCTATACAAATAAAATTGAATTGAACTGAATTGAATTGAATTGAACTTGCGCTCCCACTGAAATGTTTGGGTCTCCTGCCTCAATAACTTGATATGGTACAATTAGATTATAACTATATTTTTCAATGGTCTTTTATTTTGTATTAAGGTTTTTTTATAAAAAGGTTATATTTTGTTCATTGAGAAGAGAAAACAAAACTACAATGGTTCAACCACACTGAAAGAGACAAATATCCCTCTAAGAAACTATTAAATTAGAATATATGAAATCAGAAATTAAATAAAAAATAAAATGGACGTAATTGAATAAGAGAATAAAAACACCAATATAACCAATTAAATTTTATCTGTATAGCGCCAATTCATAACAGAAGTTATCTCAGGACACTTTCAAATAGAGCAGGGGCCCGTTTCAGAAAGCAAGATTAACAAACTCTAAGTTAAAACCTTAACTCTCGGTTGACCAACTCTGAGCTGTCAAACTCTGAGTTTTAGGTTTCAGAACAGGTGATAACACTTAGTTCAATCAACTCTGAGTCAAGGTAACCCTGAGTGAAGCCCGTGCATGAGGATATAAAAAGCCCTCATCAGTGGAACACAGATAACATGATTCACCATGGCAACAAGTGACAAAAAGCCTCGATCCCCCTATTTCTCCCCAGTGGAGTTGGAAATATTAATGACCGCATATGCAGAAATTCAGCATATATTTTTTTTTAAAAAAGCAATACTGTGGCAGCAGCAAAAGAGCGGGAGCTCGCGTGGCAAAAAATTGCTGACCGAGTCAATGCGTGAATATTAATTGTAGAAAAAAAAGAAATGTTTTGTCTTGAATGTTCCACTTACTCAACATTTATATTTCATATGTGTGCGCACAGGTGCAACCCAACAGGCACCAACTAAAGATGAAATATGAAAATGTAGTTCAAACAGATAAGGTATAGTTTAAGTACAAGCAATTGTGATGTTGTTTAGCCTGCCCTCATTAAACAGCATTTAGTGGCTACATTCAACATGTGATAGATATATTTAAGTAATTAGGGAAATCTGCTAAACAAAGAAAAATCCCAACACAGCCAGTATTTAATATTGTCTACATGAAAGCAACACCTAAATACCTTTTATACATACAAGTCTCCAAATGTGTGTTTTCTGGATATGTTTAAATTTGACCTCCATTATAGCCAACAGAAAAAATGCTGAGGCCGGCAAAACAGGTGGCGGTCCACCACCACCACCTCTCACAGAGGCTGAAGAGATGGCCCTCAGTCAGAACAGTGGGCGACCCATTGCTGAGGGCATCTCTGAGGCGAGCTCATCAGACCCAGCCACGCCCCAGGACACAGGGGCCTACATAATAGGTAAGTTATTCAAATGAATGGCATGTACATGAATCCTTTTTCTAGTGTTCGCTCAGT